ATTTGAGTTCCTTTTAAAATCAGGACATGACCGGACACTCCCCAATTACCGAGTCCAAACTTTGGGTTTCTGACCTCGTTTCTTTTATTTTGTTTTGTTTTCATGTTGATTTGAGGCTTGCGAATCGGGGGAGGAGGAAGAACTTGAAGGAACTTCGAGGAGATAAGGTGCTTCGAAGAGGCCATGAATGGGAGCAGCACAAGTAGGGTACTGGGCATCGAAAACAGGTATCTAAGCTTTGAGTGTTTGTTGACAGATCTGGCATTTGTTGATAGATGGGTTCTAAACAGAACATAAAAGTCATCTAAATAGAACATAGTCCTTCACATCAAGCTAATGATTGCATTGTCTAATTATACCGGATTGTTTAACTGATTTTAGTATGAGCTCATGTTGTGAACTGTTTCTCTTGTCTGGACAATTGCATTTAGCTTCCTAGGTCATGTTGAATGCTCTACATAGTTTCATATAGTAACTTGAGCAATGGTTGTTTAACTTCAGATTCAATAAATAGTAGATGATGGATGAATATGGAATTGGGTTTTGTAGTATAGACCAAACACCGTTAGATATTTCGATTGTGTTCCTGGAACGTTTGGGTTTTGTTTTCTATATTTCCAAAGAACAGTTTCTTAATTGGTGATTTTGCATTAGGCTGTTGACCATACATTGGAGTACTGAAGAAGCTCATGCCCCTGATGGTAGCTTGATAAGAGTACATGCAGCATAGGAATTTTGGTTCACAGCTAGGAATGTCTTCTTTGCAACTTAGTCGAGATGCCTCTGCAGCCGTGAGTAATTTTTCTTGTTTCTTTGCTATCTGTTTCCTTTTGCAGTCTCTTCCTGAACTAGCAACCTTTGTGCTATCCGTTTGAGTCATGCAAATTTCGTCTGCATTTTCATCAGGGAGCAGCTCGTGGTGTTACCAAACAAAATACGGATTTGGAGATTGAGTCAGTTGAGGCCTCAATGAAATCTGAAGTGGACAAATTGAAAAAGCACTTCAGACTGGAGGTAAATTACTCATTTACAATGTCACAGTTACAATTTTAGGCGGCTTTACTGGTTAGACACATGAATGGGTTTCCATATATTTGGCTTCAACATCTGATTCAAAGATATACATGTTCTTATGTTGTCAGTTTATGGAGGAGCAACCCTTGAGGCATTAGCTAGCCAGGTCTGCTTCACAGACAAAAAAAAAACAAAGAAGAAAAGTCAGGTATGTCCTTTCAATTGCAAACAGTTCATGTCCCGCAATGTACCCTTCGTCCAACAAAAATATGAAGTGTCGATGGAGTTTACTTTTGTGAAATATACCAAGCTAAGAGATTTTGTCCCCTAAAATCAATAATGAAGTTGTAAACTCAATAAAAAGTGGTCATTGCTTTCCATAGGCGTTTCAACTTCTTGCTATGGAAGTGCTAGTGAACTTCATTTGTTTTTCTTGATGCTTCTGTTCTTTGCACCACGGGTTCTAGTCTGATGTTGTTTCTGTAGCAGACCAAAATAATAAAAAATAATATTAAAAATGTTACTTCCAACACAAAGAATCATCTAATCTTGCTGGTTAAATAAAAAACATGATTGGAAAAGTACCAGTTGATGTTCATTGCCTGGACGATCATCATGTCGACTAGTACTCCCAGCACTATGTCCTGTATACTTCTTAGCTCCCTTTTCTGCTCCCTTCTCTTGTTGACTAGTATTTCTCCTAGTACGTGCCCTGATCTGTTAGAGGGCAAATAAACTCTTAAGCTAATAGCCATTTCTAACAAATCGATAATTTAGTGAATAAACAAATGATATATAACCTTCTGTTGTGGCTAACAATTTCCTATGGGCTCTCCAGTAGTATTATTCCTGCTCGTTCGTTGCTTCTGGTAAAAACAAAATAACAACTGTAGGTTATTAAATCTAATAACTATATCAAGAACACTTAACCAGAGATGCAAATTACCTTTGGGGGCTGACCACCTTGGTCATCATCTCCATCATCGTCGTCTCCATCTTCTCCGTCGTCCCCATCATCGTCCCCATCATCATCCCCATCATCGTCCATGTCGTCGTCGTCATCCTCCTCATCAGATTGAGATTCTACCACGTCGGCTGGGGGGTAAGTACAAGTGCTCCTATAATGCCCATCCCTTAGCCCGCAGTTCCCACACTTTCTTCTTTTTTTCTTAAGTTGTTTTTTTCCCTTTTCCTTTCCTACAGCCCTTAAACCTCACTTGATTTGGGTTCAATACTTCTTTGAACTTGTCTGGTATGACAATCCTTTCTCTCTCGGCGGGGGTTTTCTTTACCATCTCCAACTTGTTACACACTGCGGTCAACTCATCTTGAGCCATTCGATAAGAGAGAGGAGTGTCTGCTCCTAATAAGCAGAATCGTTGAGACATGAACTGTAGCGACCCGTACCTAATGCTGAAACTGCTGTCATCCCCCAATGTACTTGGTTCTGGCAGAGTGTTTATGGACTTTGGGTTCTTCGAGCAACGTCTGAGTACCATTTTTTCAGGAATAGTCTTCACTTTTTCTTCTTTGAGAACAAATAGCACATGAACGCAGGGTATCCCAATACTCTTAAACTTTTGACAACTGCACTCCATATCTCTTGTTTCAATGTTGTATTTCACCTCTATGACCTTCTCTTTGTTGAACATGGTAACAATGTAAGTGTGTAGGTTCCCCTCTTCAGTTTGGTTACCCTTAATGACTCCAATAATCTCCTCCAACTCATTTTTGAACAAAAAAATGCAGCCTTTGAGAAAAGCTTTGCTGCACTTTGCTCGAGGGGCTTTAGGATTGAATTCTTTATAGGAACTACACCATAATTAGACTCAAAATCTAATCTAATCTAATCTCTGTCTCTCTCATGTCCCTGAGCCACCGGTCGTATTGAGTGAAAAAGTCAAGCAAACATAACCTCTCATTTTCATACCTTGCAACAACCGCATTTATGCTTTCACATCTTGATGTGGTTGTCAACCCAGCAAAGAAATGTGAGCGCAAGTATGTGTCTGCCCATTCGTTGCGTCTCCCAAATAGTTTTTTCGACACCCATTGGTTGTTCTGGAGTTCGCATTCCACTACCAATGCATTCCATTTCTCCTCAAATTCTTCTGGCCCGTACTCAGCAGTTACTAACTTCTTCCATCGGGGTTCAAAGTCGGGTCGATTCTTCACCCTGCCAGTGATATTCTTGGACAAATGCCATGCACATAGCCTATGTGTTGCATTTGGAAACACATTAGCAATAGCTTTCCTCATTGCTTTATCCCCATCCGTGACAACTGTACGTAGCGGAATGTCCCCCAACATTTCCTTCGCTATCTTCAACGCCCAAATATAGGTTTCGTCAGTCTCATTTCCCAACAGTGCACTCCCGAATAAGCAAGTTTTGAAGTGATGGTTGATCCCAACAATGTCAAACAGAAACTCGGAAAAATCAGAATCTTTTGAACCAGCAAGAGAAAAACTAAAACTGTGAGAAATATGTAAACAATGGTAGAGTTCATATAATCAGAAACTTGCTGTTTTCTAGATGCCATTATGTGTCTTCAAACAACAAAGCAAAGGATAATACTTAGAGGGCATACTAGGATGGCGTACCTGTAAAAATGACCAGTGGCATATTGTAAATGTTTTTTTGGTACGTTGTGTCAAATGCGAGCAACTCTCCAAAACACGAAATGTCGGCTTTGCAAATGCTGTCAGCCCAAAATAAAAAATGGAGCCTTTTTTCCTCATTAGTAGTGTATCGGAGGAGGAAGTGTGGGTCTGTGCTTTTCTTTGATTCTAGATAGGCCAGTGCAGTTGCTGCATTACCCTCGCTGATTCTCTCAGCGCGGTCTTTGGTGCTGAAATTTAACTCATTTTTAACTGTATACCCAAGTTTTTCATGCCCTACAGCACAATGCACAGCAAGCTTAATGGCCTGAGAAGGTTTCATTCCGGCATCCTTTTTAAATCGGAGGTCTGCCTTGTCTGCTCCTATTAATCCTCGATGCGACCTCAAGTAATGTACCTGATTCTGCCTAACTGTGTCATGAGTGTGCTGTGAGTTAAATATATCAGCAACCCACTTATTGTTTGTCTTGTTCAAGCTCACACAAAACATAGCCATGCACTGAAATATGATCTCCATAGGCGACTCCCTCTTTTGTGGACCTTTATGTACTTCTCGAACTCCCTGACGGGAACACACGAAGGCTGCACTTGTTACCTCTCCCTTGACGTTCTTAACCTTCCTTGAGCGACGGACAGAAAACCCCCAACTCTTAGCATAGTTGTTGTAGAACGCATATGCATCCTCAAAATCTTTGAATTCCTGACCGATAAAAGGAGAATTTTGAATAACGTTTGTGTCATCCTCCTGTACAGTAGGACCATTGTTGTCAGAGGTCACTGTTTCTGGTATGATTTCAACATCATTGTCTTCATTGTTGTTGATATTATCTCCCTCTTCCTCCATTGGTGTGCCATCTTTTTGCTGTTTGTGGGGAGGGGCTGAATCGGGCGCAAAGCAGAGGTCTTTTTGATGTTGTTGTTAACCTAATCCATTTTTCACGTGTTATTAGTTTTTTCTATTTTTTCCCGTCATGGTGTACAGTTTTTTTTTATATTTTAGTACTTTAAATTTTTATTATATTGTTTCCCGTTATGGTTACTAGTTGGATAAAGAATGCAACTAATAAAGAATGCTTGAATTACCGAAAAAAAATACTAAAGAATGCTTGTGTGTTATATATGGTATATTCAACTTCCAAATAGGTGATGCGGATTGTTTCCATGTTAATTATTACCCGTATACAATATTATTTTCCTTTTCCATGTGGAGGTTAATGAGGAAGATAAAGTTTCCAGTATCCTTATAGAGAAAAACACTCACCCGTTGGCCCTAGTTTAAGAATGCTAACTCCTATTCTGCATTCGCCAGGAGCTCATTCAGGACAACAGTACAGGAGCTCGGTTAGGGGGCAGAAACCAGGAGCAATATGCAGAACGATAAGGACAGCAGGATGATGACAAAACGCAAGACCAGAAGTTCTTCCAAATTAATGGTTCGTCAATTTGCATTCTTTTTTCCCGTTTTCTCCATCGTTGACAGATTATTCTTCCAAACTAAATAAGGCATTGTGTGATTATTATGATGAATTCTTTGCTGGAGAAGGATGAATCTCGAGGAAAGAAAGGTAGAACTGAAGATGGTGTGATCCAGATTGATGGTGATTTGCAGGCAGATACCAGATTTTCTTACTTACAATTCGACAAGAAGGTATGATAATCTAGCCCACCAATTTTCCCCGCTTAGAACAAAATCAATTGTTTTTATCCTTATGTTTCGTCTTATATTGTAGGGTGAAACAAAGTTTACACTCCCAACACTTCTCAAGTACACTAGAGAGGAAGTGAACATTGCCCACTACATATTTGCGAAGGATCTTCCACAAAAGGAAGTCCTGGTTGAAACCATGATGCAATCCTATACACGAAAGGTGTTGCGGTCCCTCTGCCCTAAGTCTAATGTCGATGATGATGTAATTACAGCCATGGCTTGCCAATTGAGCCTGGAGGAAGTTTGGAGGGATGTTGGAGATGGAAGAGTAGTCTGTTATCTGCCTGCTGAACTACAAGTATAGTCCCATTTACTTTGTATATTTATTTTAGGTGCAATATTCCGTTTCTCCTATTAAATGTGTTATCTTCTATTTTAAATGAACCATGATCAGGAAATGGTAATTAACTATGGCATGACATAAAAAAAAAGCTCTAGAGTGTTACGGTGCAAAGTTCTTGGCAAGAGCTCACACGTGCAGAAAGCTTTCTTCTTAACAATTCCTTTCTTGTTTCATTGAAATATTCCTCAATTACTGTTTCCAGCTACTGTTTGAATTGGATATGCGAATAAATTAGATGTTCCATCAAGCTTTTGATATTTCTATAAATTATATTTTACAATGCTCAGCTGAGTTTGGTCTTTTTCGTCGTTATTTAGGTGTGTCTGCCCATGAAAGATGCAATGGACGGTGATGCAGTTCACTGATATTTAGCTGTCATTATGCTGGACGACAAACAAGTCCATCTATTGGATTCGTATACTTCTAAAAAGCGCCAAAGATCTCGTAGAAACGCAGTAGTAACTATGGTATGGTTTGACCTCTTGATCCGAATACAGTTATACCTCTAAATTGATTTGTGTATTCATCTATCCCGAATAAAGTGATTACTGCTTATGTAGATCGAATTTCTTGATGACTTGTTTGAGGATCTTTATCGGCAAGTGGAACCAACACTTGATCAACCTATGCTGGAACAATTTTCTTTGACAATTCCTTCAATTCCCGAACAACGTCACGAGTAAGAATTGTTCGTTGTGAAAAAATTAGAAACATACTTAGATACCCACCACTCATATGCTGCATCTTATTTTATGTAGGTATGATAGTGGCGTTTGGGTGTGCTCATGGATGATGGGTGCATCTTGGGATGCTTCTTATAATATATGGGTAAGCAAGAATTCTCTTACTTGGCCTTGAAGGAAAACAACCTTTTGAAACAGCTACTAAGCCTCATTGTCATTGTCCAACTGTTGCAGCCATGCGGAGATATAAGGAGAATGCAACTAGGTTTGTATCTGGTCCAACACCCTACAAATTACATAAGACATGTCGTCATCGAGGAAGCAAATAGTAATGCATCGAGATTTGTTGCCCAGACTCGTAGGTACAAGGAAGAAAGCCAAAAGAGCGTAATCCAGAACTAGAAGATTTATAGGGAGATGGTGGTTCATTTCTCCTGCAGTAGTATATTCTAGATATTTGGTTGATTAGTTCTCCTGCCAGTACTCTAGTTTTGTTTCCCTTTTCATTTTCGTTGAGAACCAAAACAATACCCTTTAATTGTTTGAATTGTCTGCTTGTCTCTTTCCCTTTTCATGTTCGTTGAGAACCAAAACAATACACTTGTTATTGGGTTAAAATTTTGTTATTGAAGCTATTTGTTGGATCCAACATGGTTATGTTTGCTCCCATGAACGCATACATCTCCGGCGTCCTCCGGTGGCAAGATATGAGATATCCAAAGGCCAAAGCCAAGAATTGGCGCGTTTTTTGGGCCCAAATAAAGATAACAAAAAACCCCACTGACCAGGAGAAAGGTCAATAGTTTCTTGACGTGGAATTGAGGGAGACGAAGCGAGTCGGCAACCGGAAACTGTGCCGGAAACTGGTTCAGGTTTTACGACTTTATCCGGTGTGGACTTAAGAGGGAAGAAAGTTCCAAGATGATGGTCGAGAAGGAAGTAAAAGGGAAAAAAAATTGGGTGATGTGATTCGAACCCAGAACCTCATTTAACTACAGTAGCAATTTTCCGCTGGGAATGGGGGAGAAACGCGCGACCAAATTTCCAGGAAACTACATTTTGTTGTTTTGCAGAGCTATCACAGTTCGTTTGCTAATAGATTTTTCAAATGAAAACAGAACAACAAGTGAACACGTTTTTTTACTCATATTTCTTATTTTTTGTTGTGACAACAAAAAACATAAAATGAAATGGCAAGTGAATGGGGCATAAGGCTCAAGCCTAGGCGCCTTCTTTAAGCCTTATCTCAGCTGAACAAGCATCAGGAACAAAGCCACAAAAACGTGAACCAACATTCGGATTTAAGAAAAATAAAGGTAAACACCAAAACCAATCTAAAATGAATTCAGTTGGGATCAAAGTGATAGTAAAACGGACCGACTACCAATAAAAGTATAAAACCGACCGACTACCAATAAAACAAAAACAACTACTTTTCTAAAATGAATCAAATAAACTCTTTTGGCATTTTGAGCTGATTTTCCCCTTGAAATGTCTTTCATAAACGGCCCTTGCTTCATAAATAATTTGAGAGCGCCTTGTATTTGAGATCTCTTTGACTAAACTTATGGCCAAGGATAGTCGACCTCTATTACTACAAACCTGCAGCAAATTTAGAACATTACTCTTAACATGTTGATTTCGATTTGATAGTGTAGAATCTCACGTGGATGGAATCATATTTAGAAGGAAAGGATTGTATTATACCGCCGGATACGAATTATTATCAGCCTCTCCGTGCAACATCCACTGACAGACGTAAAACCCGCACTCATAGCTACGTGGAAAAATAGCATTTATTATTGAAAATAAGATTGTGAATCGAAATGAAATAATCAAAATACTCAAAGAAATACTAACTCATCAATTTGCTTAGAAACGTATGGAGGACTTATGATTTGGAACTTATGCACTTTGGGCACTTCATAGGTTGATGGCTTGTCTGCAAATTCTTGAAGCATCTTGTAAAAAGAATTTCAACTGTAACAAAAAACTTAACCACGTAACTATTACAGTACAAAAATTAAAAAAAAATTTGACTAACTAAATTTACACGAAGGGAATAGTTTGATCACCCACCATTCCTTGCACCCTTTTCCTACGATTTTCCAGCAAACCCAAATCAATAGGCAAAGAGTCCACTACATGCACTACCTTTCGGTCCATGAAAACCACAATAAGAAACCAATGGCGGTTCTCATCATTCATTGGCAAATATATCGGAAATAAATAAACAAGTAAATGATGACGAAAGAATGAATGGACTATACAGTAAAGGGCAAAACATTAAGAGAATATAGTACTCTGGAAAAATTACTAATATTATTATACCATACCTTGGTGCATTCAAAGGTAACGCAAAGATATAGGTTCTTATAATTTTCCAGGGCTTTTTTTGGAGTCCAACCCATTTTCACAACCAAATCCTGGGTAGCAGTTCACATTCACTATTCAACTTTGGGAGAAAGAAAAAAGTAAACTTACTGTAAAGAGCTTTCCATAATTGTTGCTTACTTCAAAATTGGATGGAAGGTACCAATGTCCCTTTTTCCCCCAAGCCCTAACATCAACAGCTAATTGACAAGCTATAGCAGTCAAAATCTAAAATAAGCAAAACCCAAGATTAGTATAGCTAATATGTGGTCAAGTATGCATAGGCAAAACAGAACTACAAAATACTTACACAACCATGAAGCCACGTTTCTGGCAGCAAGTCCTTCAGTTCTAGACGACTTAAACTATGACCAAAATTCTCAACAAGCCATTTATCATCTTGTAGACCATCACCAAAGATGAAACACGCAATGGAACGATCCTCATCATTATCTAACGCCATTATTGCAGTCACCGGAAATTCCACCTACGATTTGAATTTACCAAAACTTACAATACATAGGTACATCATAAACATTTTAAAATCACAAATGTGTAATTTCTTTAAATAAATTCTATATACCTTCCCCGATACATTTATATATTCCACAGCCGCATTTTTTGGCCTCTTGTGTGAATCATCGCCATCTGCGTCTGAGTCGGAATTTATATAAATAAGTCAGTTTACGCTGGGTGTGAAAGAAACAACAGTGTGAACTGAACTTCCACATGCACTCACCGGAAATTCCATCTACGATTTGAATTTAACAAAAATTACAATACATAGGTACATCATAAACACTTTAAAATGACACAAGTGCAAATTGTTTAAATAAATTCTATATACCTTCACCGACTCATTTAAATCTTCCATGACCGCATATTTTTGCCTCTTGTGTGAACCATCGCCATCGCGATCTGAGTCTGGGTTTGAATCAATATAATAAACTCTTTTTAAGGTAGGCATAACAGGAACATTAGTGGGAGGTGAACTTCCAGATGCTTGATGAAGAATGCGTTTCGACATCCTCTTTAGCACTTGAAATTCAGTATCAGTTTTCATTATCATTGCAGTCAAAGATTTAATCTTATCGTACAACTCAGTGAACGTCGTCTCCATGGCTCGAAAGGTAGTCGATATGGATCCAACAACTTCCTTAGTATCATGGCTCGACATGCTAAACAACAAATTTTGCCCGCGTAAAACAATAAATAACTAAGGACTTACATAATTGTAGGGAATTAAAGGAGCATAAGTCATAAACAAACAAAAACCAAAGCGGCTTGAGGAGCGAATAAAGACCATACATGAAAGGAAAAAGGTTGTAAGAAAGGAACAACACAAACGACCAAAAGAAAGAGCTATTTTAGTTGTTGCACTGTACCGAGATTTCTCTATTGCAATGAGTTTATCTCCCCGCCAACACAGAAGAAAAGCCTTACTTTTGCTAAAGTCACCAGGGAAAACAGAAGGAGTTATTTTTTACAAGGTAAACTCTAGGCTTGGCGCCCCTTTATATAGACCGCCAAACAAACCTAATTTATTAATACCATTACGTCCAAAAAAAAATTCCTCTATTGACACCTAAACTGATCCAACTAAGGAAAGCAAGCCTATTAACAAGCAGTACATATTAAATCCCCACTAATGACAAGCCTATTTACAAGCATATTCCTCTATTGTTTTTGGCTCCACCACCGGACGAGGGAGGCCATCTCCACTGGCTATAAAGGACACCTGAAGAATGAGAATCAATTTATCAATAGCCAACCTAGTACTATTTCTTTCTTGACCAAAAAAAATTTCGGCCATCACTATTTATGAACCGAAAACAGACGTAATTACACATATCACATATGCATTGGAGAGAGAGAGAGAGAGACAGAGGAAATGATAGACCTTCAAGATATCGAAGTCTTCTTCCATCATAACAACATCTGAATAAGAGAATGCACGAGAGGGGCCTCAGTTAAGCAACACCCAAACATATCCCTACTGTAGCAAGATAATGTGTACAAATTATA